TCTTGCATTGCTCTGTAGATATTGTAAGTGCTTCTTTGCGAAACTAACAATTCTGATTTTTGATTTTTTGCCCGCTAGAGATCCAATATAACCTAATACGTGATATTTTCAAGCGCGCCAATGTTGCCAACTTTCTCTCTTCTTTTTGACCGTTTAGAGCGTTAGGTGTCGTTAAAAGCGTTTGTTCACTGCAGACTTGCGAAAAAATTCGTTTCTCTTATTTCTTTCTTTCCTCTTTTGTTTTTTTGCATTTTCTTAAAATGCATAGATATATAATTTCAGAAATAAATCTGGAAAATTAGAAATTCTGAGAGTGACTCGTGACACATGTTATTTAGATAGAATTTTTTTAAAACCGTGTTATCTGAAACGGCTTCCATAACATCTTGGAATCTGTTCAACTGATTAGCTTCGAATTTCCCCTACACCTTCGATGCGTGTGTCGTTATCATCTTGGTCAGGATTAAAAATACTTTTCTTCTTCTTTTATCTCGTATTTATTTTCTTCTTTTTTTTTTGCAAAGACAGATAGTCAAGCTTCAAAGGGCCGCCATTTTTTTTCTTTTTATATCTTTGTATATATATAGCAGATAAGCACAGACACCACAAATGTGTGTGTGTATACATATATATATAAAGAAAAAAAAATGACGGCCCTTTAAAGTTGAACTGTGCTTATCTGCTGCAGAGATTTCTTTTTAAGAGTGCGATTGAGATTTCAGTCTGTTACTAGTTTTATTTCTCTTTAAAAAAATGTGTAAAAATTACAGCAACATAGATAAATGTAGAAGGTGAGACCCGTAACTGGAACTATCTCGATTACTACCAAAGTCATGATTTTGACGAAAAACATTTCAGATAAGAGTTGGATGATTTCGAAAGGGACGTGATTAGATTTTATAGGAGAATACATAAAAGTCGTATGAAGGTCAATTTCATTCTTTTAAATGGAACTTTTTTTTTTCCTTTTTTCTACACATATCGATTTTTGGAAACATTTTACGTCAAAAGATAATAAGATACGATAAAAAAAAAAAATCAACAATTCGTGAGATATTTTACGTTGAAAGGGAAGATACTTGATATAAAAATCTGAAATATCTCACGAATTATCGACCTTGTTGACATTGCGTCTTCATGCTCTGTTAGACAGAATGTTTCCAAGAATCGACGTATTAAAGAAAACGGCAGAAGTTCCGCACGAAACAAAGAAGTATTTGTCCAGTTTCGTATAAAGCAAAATTCCTATTCTTCGAGCGATCGGTATATTTCTTATCGCGAACTGACTCTTTCGAACGTTCCGCGCAATAAAACATCAGGCTACAGTGTCTATGAAATCAATAAATCGTGAGACATCAAATACCGGAAAGGTTTTAGAATTTTTCGAGGAAGATTTAAATATTTTTTTCGAAAAGTAATTTTCTTCAATGATGTAATCGCCGTTTTAATTCCACAACTGAACTAACCTCTTTCCTGAGTTTGAACGCATATATTCATCCAATTCCTCATCTTCGACGACAGACGGACGTCCTGAACGCGGCACGTCATCTAACGAATCATTTCCTTCCTTGAACCGTTAAAACTATTTTCCTGCTGGCCTCTTTCTAACAGCAGCTTTTCCGCGTACAAATGCGTTCTGCTGCATTTGCTACTGTATTTGAAAATTTAAACGTTGTGAAGTGAGGAAGCACGATTTTTTGACTTTTCGCTATCTATGTTTACTGTTATCGTGTAAACAGTAAACAAGGAAATTTCGAAACAATTGAGAACAACGAAGCGTGCGTATCACGGTCGTATACGCAGGACACAGATTTGCGGACAGAAAATTTCTCGTATCGTCCACCACATGCAGAATACTTGTAAATTTGCAAGTAAATATTTTATAATTTTTCTATGATACTTTACAAATACTTCACAAATTTGAAAATATCACGTATTAGGTTGCATAGTATCTCTGGTGGGCGAAGGGCTATACATCAGAATTATTAGTTTCGCAAACAAGCACTTGTAATATTTAAGAAGAAAGAAGAAAAATATAAATTTGAAAGAGAAATGCAAGATTGGGTGTTAGATTTTAGATACACGATTAGACTCTCAGGTAAAAAAGCAGGAAAGAAATGAAATTGACTTGCGTTACTGGACCCAAAAGCAGAGACAGAAAGGTAGAATATACAGGCTGTCTCAGCTAAATGAGATCACCTAAATATCTGGCTTGTTCATTTCATTGTATGAAAAAACTTCTCGAGACAAACTATTTCATGGCGGAAAGAATCTTTTCTCATGTTAATTTTTCTAAAGAGATTTCGAGGTTTCGTATGTCCTCTACATATTCTCCTATAAAACAGTTAATCACGTCAAATTATCTTCCTCGACATCATACAACTCTTACCTGAAACATTTTTCAGGAAAATTATTGCTTACGCAGAAATCGAAATAGTTCCAGTTAAGAACCCCGCCTTGTATATGTAAAATCCAAACACAAAAGATTATGTAGATTCTTCGTAAGGAACGCCAGAAAAGTCCTAGAAATTCGATAAAGTACTTCCTAGTACTATTATGGTTCATGTCACTTAATGGGCTAGTCGAAGATTCGTTGAACAAAGAGAAGGAACTCTAAAATTGGAATCGTTTGTAATGGTTATCCGTAACCAAAGTACAATTTCTGTCGTCGATAATGATTACCGGTAATCGATAAATCGTTAATTCTTTATGAAAGTAGTTTGTAACCAAAGTAAAATTCGGGTCATCGATAATGGTTATTGATAAGCAGAATTAAATTCCTGCCATCGATAATGGTTACTAGTAACGAAAAAAGAAAAAAAAATTCCGCTCATCTATATTGATTACTGCTAAATACAATTAAATTTCCGTCATCGATAATAGTTATTCGTAACGAAAATAAAATTCTCGTCGTGGGTAATGATTGCTCGTAATCCGAAAAAGTTTCATCATTTACGATGGTTATTCATAACCAAATTTTTTAAAAATGAAATATATCAACTTTTATACCATAACCTCTAGAATTCTTGCAACAGTTACGATGCGTGGCTTTTTTAAATGGAACTATATTTTTCCGTACACTGTTCGATATGCTTTTTAATTCTTTGCAAAAAGATATTGGTTTAAAGATTAGTTAAAAAGTTTTAATTTTTAAAAGTTATCTTAATTTTAATTTTGCAAGACTTATCGTATAAAAGACGAGGATAGCTAATTTAACTACAATTTAACTTAACAAAGCTAAATTAACGTTGAGATATTTTCTAAAACCAAACATTTCCAGATACAAGCACCTTGGTACTTTTTTGATTTAAAATTTAAATTTATTTAATTTAAATTAAATCAAATTAATTTAAAAAAATTAAAGAACTAAATCGAGCGACGTATAAAAAATATATAGTTCCAGCTAAAAGAACAAATATCGCGAAGAACAATTGGCAAACAATTTGTTACAGTAAAGTACCTCCTAGAACATTATCAAACGCTTAATAATATAATACTTAACGAACTAGTGGAATATTCGTTGGGCGATGAGAGGAAACTCTCCCTTTCAAGCGCCATCTTTTGCGAATAGGTTATGTTCATGCAAACTCTATACCAACGTATTCCAAAAGAGAAATAAATAGCAAACTGACTACTTAATGGACTATATAAAAGGTTCTCGTCGGTCAGAGGATACGAATGACTGTGTGAAAGAAACGTCACATGGTCTGGTAGGATATAGGTCTCAGAATTATGACTCACGACCAGGTGTTCCTCTTTTGTACTGCGTGTATCATCAATAGGGAAGACTTTTCTGATGGGTAAAGGTTTCATAAAATTTATGAGTTCAGTGAGTTTGCTCGATTTCAACACGTTTTTGGAATAGCAATTTCCACGAATGCACATGCTCGAATTACGTAACGCGTAGTCGTTATTGCTTAAACTTTCATGTCACAGTAATCGTCGAAGATAAAAGTATGACATATTTATTTCCAGGACAGAACAATTTCGTTAGTAGGAATCATGATCGAGATATAAACAGTAATTAATTTCTTCTCATTTCAATATTTTATTAGATGCGTGATTTGTATTTCTAGGAAATTTGAAAGCGCAAAACTACACACACAATTCATATGATATGTAAAATTATGTAAAAATATTCAAACTAGAGTACTTATAATATTTAGTTTACTTGGAACAAATTTTTATTCAGGTTCTATGTTTTCTTCTTCTCTTTTTTTTTTTTTTTTTTTTAGTTATATTCATAGAAATATAGAAATGCATAAAAATCTGCAGTTCAATGATTATTAATATATGCGTATATGTTATACATATACATTATTAATACACATATATTATTATATATGTGTAATATGAGCGATGTGCATTATTCAACGTCCGATTATTCAATGATACTTGTACTTCCATAAAATACGTATATTCAGTATGAATATTGATAAACTTTTTCAAAGTCTTATTCAAAACAAAATCGAGTCGAGGTTCGTTTAAAACGTACGACTTCTCATAAAAATAGTTTAGCATAATGCACAAAAAGTTTAGGACATTAGTATTAAGATTTGATCCATCAAAGATGGCAAAGTTCCTTTTACAAATGTATATACATGGCTGCAGCATATTGGCAGTGAAAAATCTTCACTTAAATATTGCAGAATTCTGAAAGCAAGATTGAGTCTTCAGATAAGATTTCAGGGTTTAAAGTGAAAATTTCCTTGAAACAAATGCTCGCCAGGTATATTGGACCCAGAGTGAATCGGAAAGCTTGCAAAATGTTTGACAGGGAGAGGGACGCAGGGAGCAGCGTATTTTGTTAAGAGAAACTCGTATTGTGCGACCAGCTGGATTCTTACGGATTTATTCTTGGAAATGAACAAGAATAACGTGTCTTAGGTACGCGCAACTCTCTCTCTCTCTCTCTCTCTTGTTCCCTCTTTCTCTGTGGGCTTTTGCCTGCTCGCTCGCTTTCTTTCTTTCTCTACCCTCCTCTCTTCCTCTCGATTCCTGTCCGTGCCTTTTTCTTCTCTTCTTTTGTCCCTTCCTTTACCAGAATTCTTCGTCAATCGTCAGATACAACGTACGACTATTACCTGCATTATTTTTCTTTTCTTTTCTTTTTTCGTCGTTTTTAAATATGTATGTATGTTATTTATTGCAGTGAATCTTAATGACTAGTACGTATATCTTCATTTACACAAGTGCACGTTTAGTAGAATTTCGCTTGCTTTTTAACATGTATCCGAACATGTATCTGTATCGCAGTGCCGCCAATGTAATTTTTATAACCTATACGCTAAGTGTTCTATTACTGTATTATAACATATTTACATTTATATTATATTTATATTATTTTCAATATTTTCAATAACTTCGACATTTCTCTATCATAGTATACTTAATGTTAAAATAAGCATATTATGATATATTTCAGTACCACAATATATCATCATATCTTCGCTAGTTTGTGGTTTCTTTGGTTTCTTGACGTTTTTTTTGGAACTAGTGTTGTTGGCCATTGTCTTTTTCAAATATTCGATGAAGATGAAGCAGAGAACCGAAATAAATACGTTATTTGTAAATCATACAAATGTGTAATATTTCCAAATCTCGTTTATCTCCACGTTGACAGTTTTTAGCAAACATGTGAAGGAAAAAAGGAAAAATTGAAGGCGCAATAAGAGCTAGCGAAAAGTGTAACAGTTACGTAGCTTTCCGCGAAAATCAATTAAAATTATCCACGTCGACAATCTTAGTACATACATAAAACATCTAGTGATTTATCATTAAATATCAATGGCACACGATAAGTGTTATTTTCCAAGCATCGGCTAATTGTTATGATTAACGGAAGAGATAGAACTTTTTTTTAATGGAAACGTAATATTTCGTAAAATTTGGGATTCTTATTTGAGTGAGCAATTTAAGTTGCTAGGTGTTATACAGGGTGTCCCATTTTAATCGGTCCATGTAAATATCTCAGACACTACACATTACTCGAAATAATGTTTCAAATGAAAGTTACACTGATTAAAATATTTTTTACCTACCAGTAACCATTATCGATGACAGAAATTTAATATTTAAATAATATTAATATTAATGAGACAGGAATTTTTTGGTTAACTATGATTTGGTTAACCTAATTACACTTGATTAATTATGATCATTACATTATCGACACCGAAAAATTTTTTTTATTATCACTAATCAATATCAGCTGCGAAAACATTATTTTTTGGTTATATTCGACTATTGTCAATTTATCATTAATATTACTGATAATTACTATTTACTGACAGCATAAAAGAACTTAATTATAAGACTTATTTATTAAGTAAAGAAACTGTATGAAAATGTGTGAAACAACGAATATGATAAAAATTATGGTAGTACAATATCTTCATTCTATTCTCTGTTTCACATATTTTCGTGCTCTTTTTTTAAATACAATAAATTTTATAATTAGCCTTTTTTATGTTGTCAATGAATTTTGCAAAACTTTTTTGCCGCCGATAATAATTATTCGTAACCAAAATTAATTTTCCGTCATCGATAATGACTAATCATAACCAAAATAAAATCCCTGTCCTCGATAGGCAACGATTACTGGTAATCAAAGATTGTATTTAGTTTGAACGGTTATTTATAACCAAAATAAAATTCTGTCCATCGATAATGATTACTAGCAAGCAAAATGAAATCTCCGTCATCGATAATAATTATTCGTAACGAAACTTGTATTTAATTAAATAAATGAACTCTTATACCATAACCTTAAAAATTTGTTCTATAACAGTTACAATGTCTGGCTTTTATAAAATAAAAATATACATTTTTCTAGAGACCATGCGATGCATTTTTTAATTCTTTACAAAAAGTCGTTAAGGTACTTTGATCGAAAAATGACTAGTTTAAAAGATACTACAACTTTAATCTTGCAAGACTTATCGTATGAAGGACAAGGAAAGATAACGCAGTGCTTTTATGTTTACGTTTTCCTTGTTCATACGCTCGATTTCGTTAACGTGCAAATGTTTTTCAAATTAAACATTTCTTCATACAAGTACTTTCATACTTTTTCTGTAAAGTAAAATTAAAAACTTCGTGAAAGAAAAAAATTGTAATAAATATATAACAAGAAATGTATAGTTCCATTTAAAAGAACAACGATAGCTCGAGACCTGAGAAACACGTGCACCCAGATAAATTTGACGGTCATCGTAAGGCGCCCCCCTTGAAACAGAACGAGTTTCATTTGATACACTTGTCCCAATAATATATAGTTTAGTAAATATTTGCGTGAGGCGATTAAAATGTTACAGCGCTCGTTCGATCGGAATGTATTTCTACGGTATCGGGATTTTGTAAAAATTGTCAAGTTTTACGAACCTCTGATCGTATAACAGTTCGTGAAATGTTTGCCAATGTCGAGAATATCGGCGGGGGGGGGGGGG